ACCTCAAGGAAAGCATCCCAACATGCAGGTGGGGCATTCCCAAACCTTGAGGAAGGCATCCCAACTTCAAGGTGGGGCATTCCTGGACCTCAAGGAGAGCATTCCAGAGCTCGAGGAGGGCATCCCAAGTCCTCAAGGAGAGCATCCTGGACCCCGAGGAGGCATCCAGACCTTAAGAAGGACATCCCAGCCCTCCAGCTGGCCCTCACAGGAGGAAGGGGCCGGGAGGCAGATGATCAACCAGCTGATCCTGGTATTCCTGCTCCGTTGGGCCGCCTTCTCCCGACTGGAATTTTCCAGGTGAGGCATTCCCAGAGTTCATCTTTTGGGTCTCGTCGTGGCCGGACAAGCCCCCCCCAGTCAGCGGTTGGGACACGAGCAGAAGAACCAGCTGAGGTGAGGGGAGTGCCCCTTTCCCTGCCCTCTCTTGCTTTGGCAATGGCACTGCTCACAGGCTACATGCTACCGGGAAAAAAAAAAACAGGGAAAAAAAAAAAAGGAAGGAAAATGGCCACCAAAAAGTGCTCGGAAAAATGAACCAACGGGATGTGACTGGCAGATGTTCCCGGCCCATCCGGAGTCTCTTGGATATTGCAGTGAGTGTGTTGTTAGCACGTGGCAAAGCTACATAAGAGAAGATGCTACATTCCTTGGAAAACAAAAGTAGTGCTGAGTTGGGTTTTTTTCTTTTTTCTGAGTGTTTTTTGTTTTGTTTTTTTTTTCCCTTGGAAAGCTCCCTTTTTTTCCTCGGAGGCAAGGAAAGGGAAATGGAAGGAAAGGAACCTCGTCAGTCACGCTGCTGAACCAGACTGAGCTGCTCTCACCAGGGTCAGGAGAGAACTGGGCACCTCGAGGCTTTCCAGGTGCTGGGACGAGGCGTGGGAACAGTTCTGGGATCATCATCGGCAGCCGCAGCCCTCGGGGAGGGGGGTTTGTTTTGCTCCTCCTTCCCCCTCCTGCCTCACACACACGGCCCTCGCTCCCTCTCCCACGTCCCCTCCACGAGCGTGGGGAGGGGGGCGTGTCCAGGGGCAGGTTTTTGGTCGGGGAAGGAGAATTTTCGAAATAAAAATTAAAAAAAAAAAAAAAAGGAACCCAAAAAAAAAAAAAAAAAAAAAAAGAAAGGATATTTACAGCTCTCCACGCCCAAGTTTGGGTAGGTCAGGGTGTGTCTCCTTCCCCCTCCCCTCTCCTCCCACTGACCTGCCCCCCTACGGGCAGGAGGGGCTGGTGGAGCTCTCCAGGGAGGACTGGGAGAGGCGGCGGGTCAGAGGTCCGATGCTGGAGTCGGCCAGCGAGGACGTGGGGAAGAGTTTGTACCAGCCCGCGACGGTGCTGGAGAGATCCAGCTCCTCCAGGATGATCTGGGCCATCCCCATGAAGCACTTGTGGTCCATGCGCCCGTAATCGCCCCAGACGATCACCTGCGGGCACAGACGGGGGGGGGTTACGGAGCTGCCAGGCGGGAATTCCGGGGAAAACACGGCAAACTCAGCGCGCCCGGAGGGAGGGGACCCGCTGTGACCGGGGAGGGAAGGTCTGGAGGACAGCAGGGGCTCCGTGCCCTGTGCTCGCCCCCCTCACCCTGGGAGGGTGGCACAGTTGCCCAGAGAAGCTGCGGCTGCCCCTGGATCCCTGGGAGTGTCCAAGGCCAGGCTGGAGCAACCTGGGACAGCGGGAGTTGTCCCTGCCCGTGGCAGGGGGTGGGACTGGATGATCTTTAAGATCCCTCCCAGCCCAAAGCATTCCACGATTCTGTGATCCCTGAGCGTCAGGGGACCGTCACCTGCAGGACTTTGCCCTGGGGACTCTCCTCGAAGAGCAGAGGCTGCTGGTACGACGGGTCACAGCTTTTCTTCACCACCTTGGTCTTCTTCTTGGCCAGGCAGACGCCGTTCTCCAGCAGGTAAACCTTCACGTAGGTGGCTGCCCAGGGAAACAGCGATCCTGGGATGATCCCGGCACGGTGTCCATCCCCCTCCACCCCCAGCCCCCTCCCTCCCCAGCCACCTACCAGGGATGCACTTGGAGCCCATCTTTGGGATAAGTCCCCGTGCCTGGATCACATCCACCTCCAGCTGCCCGTTCCGGTCAGTCATGCCCACGTGGACATCTCCTGTGGGGTTTAAAAAGGGAGAAAATGGAACAAGAGGCGGTCGCTGTGGCTCCCCTTTGCCGCGGGATGCTCGGAGGGGCAGAGGAAGCCTCGGGAAAGGGCAGAGCCGCCGCGTCCCTGCCCTGAATGAACCCTGCAGGCTCCCGGCCGGCCGGGGAAGGGCCGAGCATCCCCCGGGATGTGCCGGGATGGAGCCCGTGCCCGGTGCCCCGCGGAGAAGCACACGGGCACTTTCCCCCCGCAGCCCGATCCCTCCGGTCGGAGCCTCCCCGGGCGCTGCCCCTGCCCCGGTGGGCACCCCCCCCGTGCCCGGGCACTCACCCATCGGGGGGGTTGCCAGCGTCTGCCGCCCCACCAGCTGCCCCGGTCCCAGCCCGTCCAGGAAGTCGCTGAACTGGCTCTCGGCACCAAACCGGGTCGTGGGGAAGATGAACCTGCAAAGGACTTGGATATGGAGCATCATCCGGCTGCCGGTCCCCAGCGAGCCCCGGCGCCCCGGGAGGGTGCCCAGCGCCGCTCCCCTCGCCCCCCCCCCCGGTGCCTTACGTGCCGTCGGAGCTGTTGCTGTTGGTGCTGCCGTCGGTGGATTCCCGGCTGCCCTGCCGGGTCACCCTGGTCCTCATCTCCACGGCGATGCCGGTCTCGGTGCTCCTCCGGATGGTGCTGCGCAGCTTTTTGGGGCCCCCCTCTGGAAGGGGGAGGCAGGAGGTGAGCCCTGGCACCTGCCCCTCCCTGCCTTCCTTCCGCAGATCGCCCACCGGGAGTTCTGTGCCTTTCCCTGGGGATGAGTTCCCGCAGGACCCCCACACATCCTGGTGCTGGAGAGCCACGGGCTGCCCGTGACCCCGTGTCCCAAATCCACCTCCCACAGCCCTCAGCACTGACATCACCACGGCTTTGTATGGCTGAGAACCCCCCCCGCTCACCAGGTACCCCCCTGCGCCTCAGCCCCCCCCCCTTGCATCTCAACCATCTCCCCCCTGCACCCCAAACACCCCCACTCTGCTGAGACCTGCCAAGCTCAAGTGCTGGCACCATCCCAGACCTCCAAAATCCCCGTGTGCCCACGTCCCCGTCCCAGAGGGGACAGGAACCCCCAGTGCCACAAGCAGGCACAGCCCTGACTGACCTCAATGTCCCCCTTTCTCCACACTCCCCGTGCCCCAGGCAGTGGCAGATGGCAGGAGGAGGAGGGTGGCACGAGCAGCCAGCCCTGGCATTGCCCCTGGCTCCTGCTGTGTGACCATGTGTGTGCTGGCACCGCTCTGGAGGCGCCAGGTTTGTCCTGCTGGTTCCGGGCTGTCCCCATGGAAGGGTTTGCCCGGTCCTGGCAGCTCCCCCTGGAGGGTCCCGTCCTGCCATCCATGGCTCCCACACTTTTTGCTTGGCTTTTGGGGATAATTAAACCCACTTCAGATGGCTGGAAGGCCCTGCATTAACTCCTCCTTACGGAGCATTTCCCAGATCATGGGATGCCAACAAGCAGCAGGGTAAAGAAGCAGTAACTAGAGGAAAAGCCTGCACTAAAATGAGCTTTGTGCTTCCCCCGCCCCTCAAACGGCTATTTTAAGCCATCCCAATATTTCCCAGAGCCAGAGCGTTTGACAAGTCCTTTCTCCTGCCCACAGCCAGGGCTGGGTGTAACTGGGGAGGGGGACACTCAGGCCAGGACCCCCAGCACGGGCAGAGCTCCCCTCTGCACCCCAGGTACCCCCCTGGGCCCCAGACACCCTCCCTTGCACCTCAACCACCTCCCCTCTTCACCCCAGCCGTGTTCCCCCCTGCACCCAGGCACCCCCCTTCTGCTGAGACCTGCCAAGCTCAAGTGCTGGCACCATCCCAGACCACTGCCTTGACCTCCAAAACCCCCCAAATCCCCACCTGGGGTTTGCCAGCGGGTTGGGCACCGGAAGAAGCACCGGGGGTTGCGGGGGGTTAAAAAGGGCTTTTTTTAGGTGGCTTTTTTAGGGGTAGCCAGAGCTGGGGGGGGGTGAAAACAAAGCAGGCAGGGGGGGCTGAGCTCTCACCAGTCTGGTTGAGCTGCAGGGTGCTCTTGCTCCACTGGGACAGCCCCACGATCGCCACCATCTTGGCGCCCAGGCTGGAGCGTCTCTTCTTGCTGGCGGTGACGGAGACGGAGTCGGCGCTGCCCCGCGCGCTCTTCTCCAGGCTGTACATCTCCCCGCTGATGCTGGAGCTGCGCACCACATTCCTGGCCGCCGAGGAGCCGGCGATGGAGCCGGAGATGGGGCTGGAGATGGAGCCGGTGATGGAGCCGGTGATGGAGCCGGTGATGGAGCCGGTGATGGAGCTGGCATCCCCGTTGAACATGGTCAGCCGCTGCGCGCCCGCCGGCCCCGGCCCCGCTCCGTGGGATCAGCTGCAGGGACAAGGCAAGGGACATGTCAGGGATGGCAGCACGGGGTGGTGGCACCCGCTGTGTCGCTGCTGTCGCACCCAGAGCAGCCCCCCGGGGGGTGGATGGGCCCCAGAGGCTCTCATGGATCCACGGAGTTCAGGTGGCACAGCCCGCTGAGTCCCTGGATCTCAGGGAAAGGTTCTTCCCCCAGAGGGTGGTTGGCACTGACCAGGCTCCCCAGGGCAGTGGGCACAGCACCAGAGCTTCAGGAGGGTTTGGACAATGCTCTGAGGGGCAGGGTGGGATTGTTGGGGTGTCTGGGCATGGCCAGGGGTTGGGCTGGATGATCCTGGTGGGTCCCTCCAGCTCAGTGTACTCTGTTTTCCCCACCCGTGGAGCAGGGGCTGGCACAGGAAGGGGTGCAGGACCCCCGTGCAGCTGGATCACACCAGCCCTTCCCCAGCATCCCACGGGACCTGGACACTCCCAACACCCAGAAGAGACCTGGATGAGCAGAAGGCTCAGAGTGTCACCAACCCGCCTGGGCTGGGACGAGGGGACCCTTGGACACCCCGTCCACCCTGAGAGCGCCCAAAACTTCACCCAGCCGAGTTCTTCCTGCACATCTCCCTCTCCAGACCTGTGTGCTGCTCCAGGTGAGCCTGCTCCACCCCGGGATGAGAATCCCTGGAGCAGCCAGAGGTGCAGGTGCTGGGGGCACCAGAGCTTTGCGGGTGGCAGAGGCTGTGCCAGAGCTCCTGCCCGGCCCTGCTGCCTTCCCTTCCCCATGAATATTTAAAATCCAGCCGCCTGGAGCATCCATCTTCCAAGGAAAGGTGAATTATTAACTGCAGGCCAAGTGAAGCCACTTTATGATAATGGATGGAGGCAGAGCCTGGGAAAATATTTCCCTTTGGAGAGAGATAAAGGGACACGAGCGTGGGGGGAGCTGGGGCTGGGCAGGGGGGCAGGGCAGGGAGGGGCTTCACAGGGGGCAAGTTTGGGATGAGACCTGATGGGAGGCCTGGATTCAGGGTATGGTTGGGATGAGACCTGGCAGGAGCCACGGGCGCAGCTCCAGCCCTGCTGAACTCCTGGATTTCTCAATTACAGGGGCAAGTGGGCGATTAGTCATTAATATCATTAACGAGCTCCCAGAGCACCCTCCTGGCTGGGCTGTTTTCCTGCCCAGGCTCCCTTGGGTGAGCACGTGGCACCGACCCATGGCCCTCACCCCCCACACTCCCTGTGCCCAGTGGGGTCATCACTGAGAGGGACCCTGGCAAAGCCCCCTGCCCTGGGCAAGATTTGGGGTTCAGCACAGCATCAGCCTCCCCTCGGGTACACATGGGCACGGGGGGTTCTCTGTCTGTGCTGCTGAACTGACACTTGCACAGGGGCTGGAGCCCCTTGGATAAAAGTGTCGGTGTGGGATGAGCCCCAGCTCCAGGGGGATGGAGCCCTTTGGATAAAGGGGTCGGTGTGGGATGAGCCCCAGATCCAGAGGGATGGAGCCCCAGCTCCAGGGGAATGGAGCCCTTTGGATAAACCTGTCCATGTGGGGTGAGCCCCAGCTCCAGAGGGATGGAGCCCTTTGGATAAAGGTGTCGGCGTGGGGTGAGCCCCAGCTCCAGAGGGATGGAGCCCTTTGGATAAAGGTGTGGGATGAGCCCCAGCTCCAGGGGGATGGAGCCCTTTGGATAAAGGGGTCAGTGTGGGGTGAACCCCAGCTCTGGAGCCGCCTGTGCCGATGGCAGGTGAGCCAGGAGAGAGCAGCCAGCAGCTCCTGTCCTAGGAGGAGTCAGGGCCGAGCCACTGCCTTTGGGACATTTGGGATGAACACCTTCCAACGCCACCCGCCGCTCTCCAGGCACGCTTCGGCCCCACACTCGCTGAGTTTTCTCTCAGGCAGCACCTGCCACAGGGAATGGATCCCAACCACCTCCCAGCAGGTCCACACCACTTCTCCAGGCCTCACTTTCCCCACTGGCAAACCTGGCATCAGGCTGTGCCCAAACAAACACAGGTCCCTGTGCAGAGGGCCTGGACCAGCTCAGACCCCTCCAGGGGCCAGAAATCCCCTGGCTCGAGCGAGCCCCGTCCTCTGCAGGGCCAGGGGAGCACAAAAGGCTCCTTCCTGCCGCTGTTTCCCGCCCCAGCAGCCCCGGAGAGCACCGGGCTCTGGTGGGAGCAAATTAGATCAGGAGAGCACAGCGCTAATGGGATCATTTCCAATGCAACACACCCGGGGATAATCCGCCCGCGAGGGAAGC